TTTATAGGCCATTACGATTGAATTTTCGCCCTGGAACGACGCACCCTCGAATATTTTTCCACCGCTCCTGTTGTTGATAACTCAATCTCACGGAAGAATTATGCTGTCGTGATTATCGGTAAGATTGGTCGTAGCAAATATAGCAATCGAAAGATTATGTTCTGCGAAAGAGATCGTTTTATTAATATTTTTTTAAATGCCTGATCATTGGCCACGATCGATATTCGGATTGTTTCGCGCATAACCGTCGAACGTTTGGGATATATAAAAAAAAAGAGAAGTGAAAAGAAAGAAGAGCTCGTTAATCGTGGCTGCCCTCTTTCTAGCACCGTTCTTCATGTTTAATTGCGCCTGCGTATAATTTCCACTTTTGCCGGCTCTCTTCGGCTACTCTCTCTCTCTCTCTCTCTCTCTCTTTCTCTCCGCGCACTAATGAAAATCTCCGGTTAACAGGATCATCAGCGACGAATTAAGCGAATTTCCGGTAATCGCAAAGGCGGCCAAGATCTTTAATTAACGAAGCTTATTTTAATCATCCCCGATCAGGGCCGTGACTGATTCTCACTGCGTTAATAATCGCGTTTCCGTTGGAAAAACTTGTGTCTGAGTCGCCGTTGAGAGCCGGCCGTGTCGGTCGCGACACGATGATAAATTCTACGGCGTCGAGTGTATCGCGCGATCGCCACTGCGAACCAAATTAATTGGTCCAGGAGCCGGGCTTGTTTTTTCACAGATTTATCGGCGCCGGATATTAAGACGATATTATCTTTAATTTTCGTGAGAGCAACGTCATTTTATGGTGTATTACGTGTTGATCGTACGATGATAATGATAAGAGGGATAATTGCTGCTAGAAAATGTATGCATCGGCGTATAATTACGCGGTGAAACACGAGACGTACACAAGATGGACCACCTAACTTGGTGATTACTTGGATTATTCTTGTTATTACCTAGGATCGATTATATCTTTTCTTTTATTATAGATTATATAATACGATTTTTAAAGGATCATTAACTCTTTCGAACTTCTTTTTTCACAATATTAAAGTAGCATGAATCTACGTATCAATAAATTTTAATAATTCATTAATTCTTCTAAATTCAAACGAATTAACCGATTTAATGAAAAATAATGATTTCGTTACTTTATGAATATTTAGAAACACGTCATGAATGATTTTAGTTGCATACATTATCTAACAAAATTGTTATATCGAAGTTTTCTTTCTCTGGTATTAAACACTATTTATTATAACGTTCTAAAACTTACGAGCAATGGTGTGTAACGATGAAATTTCCCAGTTGTGCGCAAACTCTTGACGCCACGATTATCCCGGACGAGAGGTTCCTTCGACAAGAAGCGTGTTAATTTTCCCCGGTTGGCCGTTGTTTCGTGATCGCTATGATCGACGACGTTACTCCCACGAGTCCTCGTATTTATGGGGCTCGAGATTAGCTCGCGAGACCCCCGCTGTAACCTTTGAAACGGCGACGAGGAAGAGACTTTTACGACATTGCCACGTAATCGAACGACGTTATCATAAACCCTGCCGCATGAGTAACTTTATTGCCTCGCGTTTACCTCTTTTTTGGATGCGTTGTCCTACGTGTTTTGCATTCTTATATATACACATTTATCCACCATTTCTTAAGCCATTTCCATATATCGATACGTCGAAAGAAACGCGAAGATTCGTTCGATAAATCCTTAACTGAAAGCATTCTAGGAGAAACAAAAATTTCACGGATGTCATCGATACCAATTTCGCGTACACGAGTACTCTGCGTACAATTTGCGGAAAATTCGACGAGACGCAATCATTCACGACGGTTCGCGCGAGACTCCTAAATATTTCGTTCGGCGCCGTGCATCTTTCGTTCCATTTTCGCCACCCGTTCAATTAGCGCGTTGAAACAAAAACGAACGAAAACCCCGTTCGATCGGTTTTACAATTTATAAACGAGATAAAGGGAGGAGGGGGATAGAATACGCATTATCGTTTAGCCCCGAAGCGCATTATTTTCGCGATACGATCACCGGATACGCAATATCCTCGATTCCCTTAATGAGTAACGGTCGATCGAGCAATGATTCCGCCGGATTTCGAAATCGTCCGAGCAACAACGTTGGATCAAACCGACCGTCTGGCCCTTCTCCCTGCTAGTCGAGACACGGCCGAGCCATGGAGGGGGGAAGGGCAGATAAAATCTGTATTACGTTTAGGGGGATGTAGCGCGTGCGCCCCCGTGTGCAAACCTATTAACGTGCGTGCACGCGTTGCATCGGTGCGCGTACGTACGTACACGCGAGGGAATGGGAAAGAGATAGAGGCGACCCGAGCGAGATCGTTCCTCGATCCTCGTGATTTACGCGTGCCAGTGCTGCTTCGAATTCCAAAGCTGCCTATTAACCCTGCTGCAGCGGGATAACTGCCCTCTCTCTCTCTTTGTATATATATATTATATATAGTATGTATATGTATATATATATATATGTATATATATATATATATATCTCGTCGTGCGTTCGTACGAAATTTGAAAAACGATTTTATCGGCGAGAGCCGATTGCACAGGCTGGGCTCGAGCGGTGGCCGCGATATTTCAACCGTTCGGGGACAGCCGCGTAATTGCGGCATACATCTCCGACCTTAATTTAGCTATAAGCTTCGCATTAAGGCGAAAAAAAATTGCCGCTGGCCTAGCGACAAACAATTTGCCTTTCTTAAGCCTCGTTCGGATTAGAGTCACTTAATCTTTCCAAGTGAATGTTTGTGGCAAACGAATGTTCGTAACAAATTGGAATCGTTAGATGTAATAAGTTTGTAGTATTTATTAATATTATCGAAGATTTTTAAATGACTTTCTGGGAATCGAAATGGAAATCGACGAGAGTTTTTCCTTTTCTTTGATAAGAATTTTTCGACAATTGTTTAAAAGTTACGATTTTCGCGTAATGTTCCGTGATAATTTCAAGCAACTCTGAACTCGAGGCTTCGCGTTTTTGTTTTTCCCTCCTCGTTTTATCGTTCCTCGACTTTTTTCCACGACTCGTAACAACACTTGGCGATTACTTGGCGCTAAGGATACTTTAATTGACAAAATTTCGCAGACACACCGCCAGCACACCGCGGCGGTAGACATAAATTTCCAATTTTCGCCTCGCAGAAATGGCGAAGAAGTTTAATTGCCACCGTCCAAAAGTTTTAAAGCGTTTCCGCTTGTCGGCTCGGAACAGCGTCTTGTTTGTCCCTTCGACGGTGGTAAAAAGGCGCCGTCCAAGCGGTTTTTACCCCGAGAAAACTTCCCTTCCCCGCCGCGAGAATAATGGCCGTCGTTCGAAACAATTTTCGACCGTGTTATAATCGAACGGCCAAGAAACTTTCCATGTTTGCGCTCTGATCGACCTGATCGAGTACAAACTTCCGCGAGAATTTTTTTCTTTTTCACAACGCGTTTCTTCTCCCCTGTGGTACGGTCCGCCACTTTAATTACAGAATACCGGCGAGAATCTCGAGGAATCCCGTTCCCTCGAAGGGATTTTTCCTTGTATCGAGATTAAATTCGCGGAAAGGAAATGGGTGAAATAGCAGGATTCGAGGGATATAGGCGGTAACGAAGATCGAAAGACGGTTCACAGAACACCGTATGTCCGATCTGGCCTCGTTGAACGGGATCGTGCGGTACGCTGTTAATCTCGCGCCGCACATAACGCGACTATAAATTACTGGAACGAGCGGGTGAGCACTACGTGGAAAGTGTGTCTTGGGTAGGCAGCAGCCAACTTCAGTGGATGGTTTATGGACTCGGTCTTGCTTACTGTTACCTTGATTCTCGGTCATTATCATCGGCCGACCTGCACGCGATCGAAAACTCACCCCGTATCGGTGGATCGGGTCGCGACCAGGAAGTTTGCACGGAAAATAAATAGGCGGTGATGGTAATTTCGCGATATCGGCGCTTGTACGATCGCGACTATATTTATTTTGTTAATAATAATGAACGCAAGGGGCGGCGTATGTATATTTTCTCACAAATTCCGGCCGAGCATTGTATCATCCCGGAAGCAGAGTGTACAAGATTTCAGATCTTGGCGAGCGATTTTCTCTGGATTCCCGGCTCGTTTAACTTGCCTAACGTCGTGCGAAATTTCCAGATTCTCGTCGTTATTTCACGCTAGGTATTTTTAATCGAACGTGTTCTCGGTCACGTACGATTCCGCGCGTGTATCGTTGGAAACGATATTTCACCGAAAAATAATTTGAGCATTGGTTACTTTGTAATACAGATGTTGACTTTGAGTTATACGAGTAGATCGAGATTATATTCAAATGGATATTCAAATTTCTCGAGAAGAAACGGATGAGTGAAACGGTGTAAAATTTCATCCCATCAAAATAAATTAAGTCAAGATCTATTCTAAATTTTCTCTAATAAATATCTTTATTTCGATTTTAATAAATGTAAATTGAAATAATAAACAGAATCGGAGAATTTTAGTTATTTTCGTCCGATACATCGATAAATTAATCAAATAAATCAATTAATTGATCTGTTTCAAATTTTTCATCGTAATTTTTCCAAAACAAAGAAAAAATAAAAGAATTTCGATTATTTTCCTATTTCGTTCGTAAATTAAAAAATTCTGCAAAAGTAAAAATAAAATATCTTCGTCTTAACTTTCACCGACGTCGTAAACAAAAGCACGGAAACGGCGAGAAGAATGGAAAAGAAGAACGGAAGACAAGTTTCCCAAGGAACAACGGAAGAGTTCCACGCAAGATACCGTTGCATTTCCGGCAAGGAAGCAAGATGGTGGGAGGAAGCACGTGGTTGCTCGAACTCACCCCACGAGAGACGAACATTATTGTGAGAAGATCCGACGTGAAGAAAGAAGAAGGTTAGGTGGTTGAATAAGGGCGGGAGAGGCGAAAGGCTGCGCGCGCAACTTCGAGCACGCTGCCGCCGGTGGCTCGAGAGTTGGCCGCGTGGTCGGCCTGCTTCAGTAACTTCGATACCTTCGAGTGAGTGAGTCACGTCCGATCTCGAACCCGTCCGCCTATCGAGACGCGCCAAAATATTTCTATCTACGATTATTTCGTGTTAATTTTCGTCGATATTCTATCGTGTCGTTAATAATGTCGCGATTCGTTTGTCCACGATGAGAAGAAGACAGATTGGCTTATTGCGTTTTACATAATGTAATAAACGTATAATGGAATGGTGTATAACCTGTTTGTAAACACGACAGACGCGCGACCCAAACGACTCAAAATTCTCGTATATTCTACGCCGAACATGAAATTGAATATTCGTCGCGTGAGAGTGAGTGAATTTTGACGCAATTATATACGATACGCAATTATTATATTTGCGAAATTTTGACGATAGTGGCGTCTGTGGCGTCTGTCCAAACATCGAACAATCGAACTTTCAAATCGATCGCTGATTGGCTATATCGAATGAGCGATATTTCCATGTAGTGTCGTTCGTCTGATTTTATTCTTCGATTACACTCGTTCGTTCCATTGTTTCCAAAGCTGTTCGTTCCGAAGCTTTCGCTATGAAGGTGATCTACTTCTTCACGATTCTCTGGACGCTAGCTGTTTCTACGTTCTGCGAGCCAGTGAACGAACCTCCGAAAACGAAACTGACGATTCTAAAATGTTGTCGACACATGGAGGAGTTGGAGAAAGAATTGGACAGTGACATGGACGCCAGGTCTCGTTGTGTACCGACTCAGTACGATTGGAAACCTGTCATCTATTCGCCTTCCAAACAAAAGATGTTGGATACTCCGCCAGAAGAATGGAATATCGTCGAAGGAAAGAAGCCAGATTGCAAAGACAATTCGGTGTTAACCTATGTGCCGTACAGACTCACGAATCCATTTGTGATCATGGACGATGGTCATGTGCTTCCCGACATACACGTGAACGACACATTCGAACCGAACGAATACTGCGCCGATTCTAATGCCTTGCTCGTGTGTATGAAAAAGAAAATAGGCAGTCATGCGGCTAATACGATGAGGCCACGAGTTAGACAATGCTGTGGAGAAAATGCGGCTTTCTACGAAGAAATGTGAGTATTCTGATATAATAGTCTCATGTCAGAGTATTTTCATAGGTTTTGTTTATATTTGTTTAGTTCGCGTGATAAGAAAATAAGTCTGATAATTGAGGTTATTGGTAAAAACGTTAAGGATTCATAGTTCGATAATATAGTAATTGTGTATTTGTATTTCGTTCTTGGAAAATATGAAACGTAATAATTTTTGCTTTGGCGATAATTAATATTTGTTTCACAATGTTCTAATATATATATATATATATATATATATATATATATATATATATATATATATATATAT